TTTTTTAATGCAGTTTATCGGAACAATTGGATGAGCAAACACGGATTTCCGGCGAGATCGCGCATATTCACCTTTTCGCGCGGATCGATGCGGTGGAATAAATTATCATTCGACCTTCGCCTCTCGACAATCTGTCGATGGATCCGTCGGTAATCGTTTCGACATTTTCTGCGCGGCCGACGATCAGAGCCTCGTTCTGTTCTCTCCGGCATCATCACGGATTTTCTGTGTCTCACGACGTGCACTTGCAAAATTAATTTTGCAACACGCAAGCGGCGCGACATCTGCCGCGGGACTCGTTCGTCCGGTTATATTTTCCATTCGCGTGGACACTTGGTTCTCTCGCACACTTTTTCCCCCCCACGGCGCGTTTTGTTAAACGCTCGCCACCGGAGCCAGGATATTAATCATTTTTCGGTCGTCGGCACTCTCGACTCTCCGAACGATAGATTGGAAAAATTCCACAACGCGCTATCATCGTCGAAATTATCGCCGATATCCTGCGGACGGGACGAAACGTTTCAATTACCGGTATGTCTAGCTGACATTTGCAAATAAAAAAAAAAAAAGAGTAAAATTCCAGTGCCATTCTGTCAACGAAGCGTAATTGTCTTTTAATCGGTTGTTTCCCGTTTCTGTTTTTATCGGCGCCATTTCCGTTTGTACGGTAAAATTGATCAGGAAGGCACTTCTATTTGTTCGCCATTTATTCCTCGCGTTATATTCTTCCGCTACATTAGCGCGGATCATATCGGAGAAATATCGGTAATTTGGAACAGAATCGTTCGCAATTAAAGACTGAAGGAGGATGCCCAATCCTCCTAAATGAGGCGCCGGAACACTTGGAGCGTAATCTACGTGAGTGTACTTGCGGGATTACGTACGACGCGATTATTAGGAAGTTCGTCCTGGCGTGCGCTAATTTCTCCTTTGTTCGTCCGGTCGGTCGCGCCGACTCGTGCGTTTGATTAAATTAACTCGTTTAATTGGACGCGTCCATTATATTCCGCGGACCGGCCGCGCGTTGCCCACGAGGAAGAAACACGATCCAGTGGGAACACTCGTAATTCCGCGTGACATCCGAGTGACGCGAACCCCCTTTTTTTTACTTTCGCTGACGAACGGCGAGTAGCAAGCAAGTCGTCCGGACAAAATTCCAGGATCCGCGGAATAATTACACCGGGAATGTTTGTCGAAGTGATTTTAATCAATTTCAAGCATGCAACGCTGCCAATCATCGCGTTATTTCTACCTGATCGCTGCGTAAATTGTATGTATGTCACATGTTGCTATTATCATGTGTTGTATGGGACATGTTGAATTATATCGCGAGCGACGACCGTCCATGCGCGCGAAGAGAGCGTTTCGGAATTGAAGCGATTAAAATGCGATAGAAGCGTGAATGGATTACGCGCAAAAAACGCGAAATTACACGTTATTATATCGGCGCACCGGTTAACGGAGTGATCTCGTTTACGTAATAATCGGCTTGGGAAACGACAATGGCGGCACGGAATGCGGGACGGATAGATACGAACGATAAATGCCGGCGAGATCGTATTGCCCATTCGGGAATTAACAAATATCGCCGTTAACGCGGAGAAATATCGGACGTTGAACCCGTTTACGGCCGTCCGAACTACAGCGCGGACTGCACTTACGCAACCGTCCACTTGATTGAAGAAATACACAAAAGCGGCGAATTCAGCATCGACGATCTCATGAAAATCGCGGGGGAAAACGAGGGTTCAACAGACTGGAAAATCGATTTTTCGCAGGACGTTTCGATACTTGAGAATATTCGTGTCAACAATAACAACTCGCTCAATTAAGCTGGAATTTCTCTCTCGAGGCACAAACGGACGGAGAGTTTTCTCGGTTGGACGGAACAATCCCGTTTGAAGGGAAGAAGTCCTCTCCTCGCCCAATTTCCTCTCTTCGCTCTGCTTCTTCTTTTTCCCTCTCGACCGGGTTTAATGTAAACCCGGTTATGGCGCGACGACGTAGACAACAGCGGACGGTTCTTTACGACATTCGAGCGTGCGGAATGTGCAATTATCGACAGATACGACGACAAACGCTGACCGCGGAGAGAATCGCCGTTTTAGTAGAAGCGTGCCGCGATTTCTTCCGTCGAGAGCAGCGGTCGCTTTCACAGAACTTCTCTTTCGCAACGTGATTCCCTTCTCGTCCCGTTGCAATTCGCATGCATCGCGCTTACCTTCCATCCTCTCCCGTCCGCAAACGAGAATTCGATTCGACTCATTCGTTCGGTGCTCTCCTCGATCGCCGGCATCCGGTGATCGTCGCGATTGTTTGAACCAGGGGAACGCGTCAAGTCGACGAGACTCCGCCTCGGGAAATCCGCTTTCGCGCCCCGCAATCGCATTTAATTACACTCGCGAACATATTATTCGCGTAGCCGGTGATTTCGCCACGTATTCCGGTAATCCGGTCGAAGGTGAGACGAAATGAAAAAAAACGTTGCGCGGTATAAGCAGGACGCGAAAGGAAATTGAACGTTAAATGAAGCATCGGCTGAAATATTGAGCGAGACGCGCGGCACGGAGGCGAAATTGGAAATTAAATATTGAAACTTCTAAATTGCGCGTTAAACCGCGCGCGGCGTACCTACCTGCGTCTTCTTCAGCCGCGCGATTTCGCAACTGCGCCGGCGTTTCGCGCGAATTTGGGACACGAGACGTTTTTCTCCTTCTCTCTCTATTTTTCGTCGTGAGACGACGCGATGAGAGAGCAAAGGGAAGGATGCGAGACGAAAAAGACCGCAGCTGCCGCCAGATGCAGTCTGTTCCGAATGGGGATGCTCCGAATTAGCCGTCGGAAATTTCAACTACGCTGTCCCTTCTCGTTATTTCTACGATTCAATCGCGTAATATATATATTTCGTCGAAATTTACGTTACACTCGCATTCTCGACAATTTCTACGGCGCCGAGCTCGGCTAAAATCGAGATGCACAAAGGGAGGAGAGAATCGTCCTTGAATTTCGAAGAATGACCGATGAATCGTCGGCCGTTCGCGCGCTTTACGTCTTGCGCGCGTGATGTTCTCGTGCGCGATCCTTCGGCGAGGCGGCGGGTTCTCCCCCTCTCTGCCGGCGCGCGATAGAAATACGATCGTACGAAGCGATTATTTCTTTGCGGCACACAGCCTGGATAATTGCTATCTCGCTTATTGCGCCTCGGTCGCGCTCGTTGCGTTTTGGTCAGCGAGTATTTGGAATGGATGCAGTGGCGTAGCCTTTGCGCGCCGACCTCCTCTTCGATTAAGAGACTTCCCGGATCGTTCCGCTGGGGAGTATCTGTCGAAACTTGGAGGATATATCTTGACATTCCCAGACTAACCGCGCTATTACAAAGCGCCGGGGACACAAGCGAATTACTCTAGTCTGACTGCGAATTGAATTCCGCTGTGAAGACCCGATTGAGAAAAATCACCTCCGCCTTTCTTCTCGCTCGCTCGGTAAAAAACACTGCTCGCGCCGATGTGGCGTTATGCGAGTAGTTACTTCGATTCGCCTTATTAGAATTTATATTCGGAGTATTTCAGAAAATTGCCGCGGTAATGAATCCGGTATCATTTTTCTCCCCGGTCGAATAGCTGCCGAAAGGTCGTCCGTCCGTCCGTCTACTCCTTATCTCGTTAAACATTTTTCACGTGGAAAACGCCGTTTCCTGGAAATTAATCGTATCCTCGTGTGTGTGTTCTACATTACAAACGCTTCGCTATATCATAGTGTGATACGGCGCTGTATATAATAACTCGTACAGAGTATACAGTTCAAAGCGTAGTAATACGTATTCTCTCTACGTGGCATCGCGCGCCTATCCTTACGACGTCGTTATTTGCTCGATACTCCGTTCAGGCCAATTATCGATGTCGTTCGCCGTCGAAAAATCGCGTGACCGCCGGATTAATTCGTCCAGTCTAATAATACCGCGGTATTATCGGCGAGGAGAGAAGGGGATGGATTACGCACGCACGGTACGCGGATTATGGTGCGTCGGCTGGTATTTCACTTTTACTCTTTAGCCGCGTTATTTATCGCGTCTTGTTTACCGCGAGTTTTCCCCCGTAAATGGCCGTTGCGAGTCGAGGCCACAAAGTGCTTCACTTTAGGATTTATTCACGCGTCGTTGTAGCGCGATATCGTTACGCCGGAGGAGTGTCTCGTAATACCGCGTAACTTACGGCGGAGTTATTACGTCCCTTTCCCGGGGGAATATGTTAATACGCCCGTTTCTTCGTACGCTCAGTGATGATGCACTTTGCCTTATGGGATCGCGGCGCGATAGATCGGAGCGTGTTCTTGAAAAGGCGAAACAGCCTTCCCGCGCGAGCCGAAGGAAGCGAGACTTTCCCGCCGCGGCGTACTCAACCCCGTCTTCTTCGCGAAAGAGGAGTCTCCAAATTGTCAAGAAATTCCCGGCTGGCAAATCGGTGACTATTCTTTTCGATCCGGGACACCGGATGATGACGCGTCAATCATCAACCAAAGCTCAAGCTACGATCCTTGAGCGGAATTTTATCGCTCGAGTTTTTCATCCCGCGCGTGTGTCCTTTTTCCAGACAGACGAAAACTGAATACTTCATCTCTCGTTTGGTAATTTTCGGTCCGAAGATTTATTCGTAGAATATCTTAAACGAGATGCGTAGATAATAGATTACGTGTATATTTTGGTTCTTTTTGAGGTTGTGTGACGAGGAGGCACTTTGCGAAAATTCAAGTAACGTTGCTGTCCGTAGATGACGCTGCGATTTTCAGAAACACTTGATTTGGCTTCCGAGTCGCCTCCTTCATGCATTTATTTCCGACGTTTTGTAAACATTTTAGCTCGCTTCTTCAGGATGATCTCATCTGTCATCTGAATCTCGGGCGTCAACTATTTATCGACACCGCGGAAAAGTCACGCTCACTAAGATGTTGTTTTATTTACACGAAAGAGCTGTACTAATCGTTCGTGACTCGTTTGTTTTCAGGAGGCAGCAGCTGGAGCAATCAGTATATTGCGAACCCGAGTCTCGGCGAGCCACTACTAACGTGGAAGATGATAGGCAGGACGTGCAAGGTACCAATCCGGAGAAAGTCAAGGTACAATAAATGCGTTATATCGAACTTGTTTATTTTCACTGATTCCTAATTTTTTTGAAAAAAAAAAGGAAAACAGAGTTTATGGAAATTATTATATATTTGAACGGAAAAGTTAATCGAGAAGTAATCGTATCGACCGTTTCTGAAAAGAACCTCTTTCGAAATTTGTAGCTAGAAAGCAAGAGAAAAGAATTACACCTGGGCACAGCAGTACAACGTATACAACGGGAAAATTCATTTCCGACGTTTATGCAATAAAAACTCTTCCACGATTGGCGATTCTGCGCGATTGTCCAATCGTTGAATGTTAATGCGTCGTCGATGTCGTCGATAAACAGATGGAGCGACGCTGTTCAACGTTTACCCGCTCGTGTCATTCGTAAAAACGTGTTGTTACAGAGCACAACGCAGGATCTGTTCGAATTGCTCGAGCGAGTGCAGAGTTCGCGTCTTGACGACCAACGCTGCGTTTTGCCATCGTATTTCTCTCAGGTATGCGACATTTCATAATTAGATAATTAAAATTATGTATACATTTTTGTTCGCACGGCAAGAGACTCGTCCGCGTGATTTTTCTCTTTAAAACGAGTGCGGGAATTATCGAATTCAAACGGAAGTTTTTTTACGCCTCTGTTTATGCACGCGTATGCTCGATGGTGGTAAAATAATAAAATATGATCGATTAAGCGCGAAAGACTCGATTAATATTTGCTCTTTTTTACATTAATTGCTGTTTACGATGAATACGCAGAAACACACACGCGTGTTTAAAATGAATGCGTGGAAATGTTTATTTACGTTTCTCCGCGTGGTCGCTGTTTCGATTGAAAACGACTGGCCATGACGTCACACGTTTACGCGTTAAGAGCGATACCGGTGCCCGTATATGTCCCGAAAGGGAGAAAAAAACAGCCGTTAGTCCCTCGTTATCTAATTTCACGCGTTTAACCGACGCGAGAGCGACTAATGCGGAGGTCGCACGAGGCTGGACCGAGTCTAAATTTATGACATTTCACTTCTATCTCACGCCTTCACGGTCGGTATGTAGTTTTAAAATGCCACGAATCACGCGAGACGAAATCAACAGCCGTTCCAACGTTCATTCTATGTTCTATTAAATATCGAGATCTCACACGGAAACGGAAAGACCTTGTTTATATTTAAAACCTGCTAACAGAATAATACACTGCGGGATACATCGCTATGTTACATCTGAACGGTAATTTAAATACGTCATATTAAATTATTATGAAATTCATGTCCGTATAAATTTCCAACGTTTCCAACGAATATTATACATTTTTCATTACTGTGCACTATTATCAAATTGGGTGCGACATAGTTTTACGAGAACAAAAAGAAATCCGTCGAATCGGTCCGTAAAAAAATGAGCCGTACGTTTCACGAATTCACGAGACAAATGTATACGTTTCTACCTTCAATTCACGCGATCGAATTTTGCAATAACGCGCGAATTTAATTTCCAATTACCGCGCGCGTGTTCAATGTGTTTTCGCCGCGACACGTGGCTAAAACGGAGGAAAAACCTCTTCCTTCGTTCGTGCAACGATTAAAGCACTTCTCTCCCCATTTCGCGAATGCGCTTTTAATTCACTCGTGTCGTTGGGGGGGGGAAGAAGTCGCTCGTGTAAATCCTCGCGTGACGGAGCCCGCTCGGCCGGGACGACGGCCCGTGCTCGTTCGCGCGCGAACGAGCCGGAGATGAATGGACAAACGCGAGTAGGAAGCAGAGAAGGGGAGAAGGAGGAGGATGAATGAACAACGCGATCCGACACGGCCGGTGGGACGCGAATGAAAAAACTCGAGACGAATCGTTCGAAGCGCCGCGCTTTATTTCCGATCGGCCGGCTGACCCCGTCTTATCCGCTTCGCCCGGAGGGAAAATCGTGTCAATCACGTGCTGAAACCCACGAGCTGGCGATAATCAATCGAATGCGCGCGACCAAATCCGATCGAATCACACATGTCACGGCGGAAGGGATTTAATATTCCGGGATTGTTATCGGGCGGATTCCTGTACATCCCGGCGGGAAAAGAAAGCGAAGTGAATGGAAAAGCGGGGGAGGGTGAGCCGTGAAACTTTGCAAAAGTTTCGAACGGCGCTTTCGGTCGGATTGCTTTCAGCTTGTAATTAAGGCCGGTCTTTTCACCGTGCGTTCTATCGATCGTGCCGAAACTTGAGAAGCGACGCGATATCGAGGCGCACCAATAACGACAAAGTTATCAAAAACTCAAGTTACGAAACACTAAAAAGAGAGAAGAGATTCTCTCTCGATATCATTTAGATTAGACTTCATCCTGACGGGGAAATTTAATTCGCCAGGCGATTAATTACTAACCGTCGATCGTACTTAACGTTTAACGCAGGGCGGTGTGACACGGCCGGTTCGTCGTCTTCGCCGGATCTTTCTTTAATCGGGGCTTTTAAAATTGTGCGACTTTCATACGCGTGGGAAAACGCGAATCGAAAGGAAAAAAGCATGCGTCTGCAGGAAGTTGCGCACATGGGAACCGCATTTGACGATTATTGCATACCGTAATTCGCTCTCTCTCTCCTCGGCGGATTTCTACACACGAGTCCGTAATCATCTGCGTGCCACATGTCCTGTTTCGTGAGAAGCCTCTGCTCTTTTTTACCCGTCCCTCGGCTCTTCGTTTTTTGCTTCCTGTCTTCTTGACCGGTCAATGAATCCTTACCGCCGATAATGCAGATCGATCGGGACGATGGGGAAACTTCGTTGTCGACGGTGCAAAAAGGACGACGCATCCATATCGACTTGGGATAAAGTAGAAGTTGGCAACAACAGTGATCTTCTTTATCTACTATTGAAAAAATTTTTCCAACTCGGTTATGTTGCGTACGCAACATAAATTATTTATCGATCGGATGAGAGGAGTAATTGCAACATTGTAAAATTTGCCATTCGTGGGAGAAATTTTTATGTTATATTACACGTGGGTGTGTAAATCACACAAAAGAAATTCTGGGCATATTTCGAGGATTATACAAGTTGAACGATTATTCCGCGGGACGGCACAATGAAGCAGACCGTAAAATCGCAGTATCTTGAATTTTCCACGGTCGAGTGAAATGATTAAGGAATAATTCCCTTGTTATCGTTCTTCACCGTGACGTTTTGATGCTCGTTAAACGAATATCCATTACCGTCGACGAGCTTGTAACAATTGTCGATAAAACGGACAAGCTGTTATCAGGAAATCACATAGTACTTTCACGCTTGTATTTTCGTCAAGTTAACTATAAAAAAGAACTTAGTCATGTTTGCCAATGTGGCGAGCAGTCACCGCTTGTGATATTTGAGAGTTAGTCAAGAGGATTGTGTTACGAATGTGTATCTCAAATGGACAAATAAATAACTATGCATTTTTTTATCATACTCGGACAACGCGTCGCTGACGCGGTAAAACGAGACGCGCGGGAAGCAAGGGCGGGGAAGGAGACGCGCTGCTTCCGGTTGCCAGGTAAACGCGCCGGAAGTTGCCGCTTGGAGCCGTCGTGGTGCGGCCGGGGGAAGATTTTGAGATTTGTGTCCTGCGCAGCGACCGTGAAGATGGTAGATTTCGTTCGGCACTCCTTCCTCCTCTTCCTCCCGCGAGAGTTCGTGCTCCTCTTTGTGAACCGCGACTGGAAAAAGTCTAGCGAGCCCGCGGAAAGGCGGGGAATAAACGAGCGAAATATCGCCGCGGAAGATTGCGGACGGCAAAACGGGCCTGATTTTCCTCGGATATCGGCGAAGGCCAAAGGTCACGCATAGTGCGAAGAGTTATCGCTCACCACCGTTCGCCAACAATCGCTCTTCGTGATTGTTAAGTCGCATATTCAATTCCCTCGCGATTAAACGCGATCTCATCGCGCTTCTATCCTTTCGGGGGATACAAGTATCTTTCGCTCTGCATCTCGACGAATTATTTTACGCTTCGGAATGCAAAGTTACGTGACTCTTTGCGCGTGATATGATTTCTAACCGAAAAGTATCGGAGAGATTGACGCGCGAATAAGCGGGTTAGTGATGCGGCAGACTCGAGCGGAATAAATCGACGGAGCGGAGAAACGTTCCTCTCTCGCCGGAAATATCTCCTAAATCTTCTCCGCTTATTTAACATGCGCTCGACATTATCGCACGATCTCTCCTCACGGTCTCTGGCAAACGTAAGAGCTTTCCGCGCGACTCGTACAGCGCATCGATTTCGGGGCCACCGATTCTTTTCGTTAACTTACCATCCAGCGTTCTGTTGAACGAACGCTCGTTCCCATTGATAGCGATTGAAATCGCAGCGACTCGTTAACACTCATTCATTATCTGTTGACCGGTCGGGAAATAAAAAGTGCACCGATATCTCTTGCGCGGGGGCGTTCACTCAGCCGCCAACATTTTCGACTATCGAGGCTGCGCTTCTCGCGCCCCGTCAAATCTCCTCTTCTCCCGAACGGGAGAGATTATTTTAAGCGCGGTGTCGCAACCGCCGGGTTAACCGCGCTTCCCGGCTATCGCTGCGTGTAATTATCAAAGCGAAGCGGAATCGATCGAACGAGAGCGTGTTTCGAACTTGTACGTCCGATTCGCACGTTGAACCGATTCGCGGCACGATTCGGTAGACGCGATGCTCGAATTTGCGAGCCCGCTTGCTATCGTCTTTTCCGGTAGAAATACGGCCATTGTTACCGAGATGATGCGAAGCGTACGATTTTGAAGGGTCGCCTATGTAAATGGCGGAAGGGGGGGGGGCGAATATACTGTGACGCTTTCAAGTTTTCGGGCGCAGGAAGTCGGGCGAAATAACGAAACAAAGAGAATACGCGGACACAAAGAAACGGGAAGCCTCTCGTCGTCACCGACAACGAAATAAGTCGACCACGAAAGGACATCCGGTCTCTCTCTCTCTCGCTCCCTCGTTCTCCCTGGACACCACAAATTCACCGTCCGTTTCCTCCGAGTTTCACCTTCCGCACCACCTGTCGTTACCATGCGAGCCGAGGGCTCACCTTGCTCCGAAGAAGCCGCCAAGTCACGAAGCATCGGTCGAACTTAGGATCGATGATACACCGTCTCTCCTATCGCATTTTTCTCCTGAATGCAATTGGGGGGAAAGGTTCTACGGCCGACCGCAGATGTCCATTATCGGCGTCGGTGGTCGATCGACGCAAGGATCTCTAACAAAATCGTTATGACACAACGATTTCTCATCAGGATATTCTCTCGCCGGTGGAGAGAAAATGATATCCTATTATTGTCTTATTGGCATGAAAGAACATTTTCACAGCAGATTGTGTTAAAATTCACACAGGCGTGTCGAACGAAAAGGAAGAAGGTTTCGCAACGATTCGTCTACCTTTTCAAAGTCCGAAGACTCGAAAAGCCTAATGCGAGACTCTTATCGTCCTCCGACCGGCGCCGTCTCGAAAAAAAAGACCTGTCTCGAGAGAAGACGACATAAAATGTCGAAATGTT